GCCCTTGGTGATGTCAGAGACCTAAGGTAGTAAAATCGTCGAGGAAGAGGTAGACTTCACACGCAGACGGATTACTTCGTCGCATTCCTTCAGAGGAAACTCTTCTCCGAGGATCTTCATCTACCTCTATCCACCGATGTCTTCCTCGAAGTTATCCCACTGTACGTGGAATTTTGAATTCTCCTTTAAAGGATTCATCGACTCTCAGAAGTTCGCGTAGCCTTGAGTTCTACGTTATCTTTCTTTCGCGGGTGTATTCGTTTCATCCACCTCCTTAGGTCTCAAGATAAAATTCAGGACGATTTCGAAATTGCCAACTCATATTTCAGCATTTTTTTGTGTTGCTTTTTTCCTGCTAAATCATACCATTTATATTTTTGTCTAATACGGAGAAAGATTTCGAAACAGGAATCCGTTGCCCCTTGTTTTCTTCCCCATTCCTTCAATAGTGCAAATCAATCCTTTTAACAGAAAGGCGTTTCAGTGGTGCAACAACTCAGACATGGAAGACTGATAATTATTGGTCGACGATCTCTACCATATTAAAAGCTCAACTAAATAGGATGGCCCTTTCAGTATCGTTTAATATTTTAAAATTCATATATCTCCTCTACAACATTTATATCATTTATGTAAGTACCAGTGCATGCTAAGTGCACTTACCGGTTATCGAACACATAACGTCTATACCGAACACGCCTTAACGAACATTATTGATCTGTCTGATGCATTATTGAGAACGATTTGTTGTATCTTTTGTTGAAGTTCGTTTGTTTTGCAAATGCAAGGGGCGAGAAGGAAAGTAAAGTTTTCATCAGGTTCTGGAATCCCCCCTTTTTAATTTCATTATTAGCTCTGGTTAGTAAATACACAAACTCTGACCACTGGGCATGATAAAATGCCAGACTCCTTCACTGGCAACCGCAATGCTAATAGCATACTTTGAACCGTGTTGCTGTGACTTCTTTCCCCACACTAAAACAAGAATATACCTGAGATTAGTAATCCCTAAATGGACTTTGGTGTTTTTCTAATTCGTCACTTGGTTTAATTATTGCATAT